TATTATCAAACGTTTTAGACTTTAATTATGAAAAAAATGACTTCCACTTTAATTATGAACAACTGTTTTAGATTTTAATTAAGACTACATCTTAGATTCAAGTTTTATTCCTAAAAGTATTAACAAAAATGAAATGTGAAATAAATAAATAATAAAATAAAAATAATAAAACAGAAAAAGAATATAAGCATGTCTTTAGTGAGATTAGGGTTTTTAACCCCAATCCCTTCTGTCGTGGAAGCTACCATTTCTCTGGGATTTCCTTTTCTTCTTTGTTGTGCCGGCAGCGCCATGCATGTTGTATCAGAGCTTCTTCCATCTCGTTTTTCTTGCTTGCATGTATCTATCTTCTTCGTTTCCGCGGTGACCTTTCTTTCTCTGTGAACCTGAAACGAAAAAAAACAAATGATCATTGAGTCATTACTCACCTTCTTAGGAAGGTTGGGAGCGGTGGCTTTGTGATTTGGATCCGATGATGTTGAAAAAAACTGAGGATGGTGACAGTTTGAAACTTCTTCACTCTTCTTCTTGCAGCCGACGATGATAGTGACGAGGAAGGATTTTCGTCCTCACTCTGAGTCCGGCCGAAGGTGATGATGATCCTTTCTTTGAGTTCTCCGTTGAATGTAACGCCGGTGAGACTTCCGGCTGCCGCTAACACTTTCTTACTCTTCTTCTTTCGCGGATGACGATGAAGCCCTGAGGAGTCCTTCTGAATCCGTCTTCTTTTGGGCGATGATGAGGATGAAGATCCCTCTTGGATCTTTTTAATCTGAGTCGCGGCCGCTTTTCGGGGATGATGAGGGTTTTTCCCGTTCTTCCTTCGAATGATTTGAGATGATTTTATATGGCTTGATTTATGGGTCGGGTTTGTGATTTGGCAGGTTTGTTGTTTGAATCTGTTTTGGCTTTTTTGGAAATTGTTGCTTATGTTTTGGCGGAACTTTTGGAAACGTTGTTGCTTTGTTGATTGGTCTTGGCTGACTGTGATTGTTGCTGCGATTTGTTTGCTTACTCTTTGACTGGGTTTTTTGTTGGTGTTCGTTTGACTTGTTTGTGGCTTGTTGGATTTGCTGATTGTTCTTAATTTGATCTGTGGGCCATGGAAATTTTATAGGAAAACTGTTAAGGCCATGTTTGGCAAAACACTTTTTCAACAAGTGCTTTTCTAATAACCACTTTTTGGCAAACCAGCTTTTCGCATAAGCACTTTTTCCAAAAATCTTCTTTATCTCTCTCTCTCTCTCTCTCTCTCTCTCTCTCTCTCTCTCTCTCTCTCTCTCTCTCTCTCTCTCTCTCTCTCTCTCTCTCTCTCTCTCTCTCTCTCTCTCTCTCTCTCTCAGTTGCCTCGGATAAGAACAAAAGCTGCCGGATATTGGCTTTTCAGTCGGAAATATGAGTCGGGAGCCGGCTTCGGAGTGATCCGTTGCCCCCCCGACGTACCTAATGATGATAATATTCTGAAGGTGCCGGACAACACTAACCGATTATTTTGTTCATTTTGATTTGCAGGTTCGGAGCATTAATCGGAAAAGTCGGGGGATCGGGAACTTTAGAAATTTCAGGAATTGTATTTTTATGGAAAAATGTAAATTTATGTTTTTTTTTGTAATTTTATTCATTTATTATTTTTTGTAGTTTTAATATTTATTAATGAAAAATGCATTTATTTACTTTTTACTTTTATATTTTTTTGTGAATAATAAGTGTAAATATTTTTACTTATTATAATAATAAAATTATTCCTTTTCATATATTATAGTAAAATAATAATATAAAATGAAATAAGATTACTATTAGCGAAATAAAAATCCAATTAAAAATTAAACATCGTTTTAACAAATAAACCACGAATGAAATTAAATCCTATTTAAATGAAATGAAAACCAACTAAAAAAAAAAGAAATGAAATTAAGAAAAATGGAATGAAATTATCTTTAAAAGATATGACATGCTTGACCAAAAACTGAAATTCGATTAAAAATGAAATTAGATTGTTTAAAAATGAACTGAAATTGAAAGAATTGAAATAAAAATAACAACCATAAAAGGAAATGAAATTATTTTTATTATTTTGATTTAGAAAGGATGAAATGCAAAGACTACCAAAACGCTAACTTTCATCAATTCCCGATTCATCCAAACTATCAGTCTAACCCGGTTTCCGACACACTTCCGATCAAGCCTCCGACAATTCCAAACGAGCAGCTTTACCCGGATAAATCCACCTGCCTGATTAAACTTACATGCTCGTAATCTCCGGCTAACAACAATCCAAACTCGAATCGATTTAGTTCAACAAATCCAAATCTCCCACAATCAAACCATTCCAGCTACCTCAACCCTGACTCACCTCAACCAACACAAACGGCCCGAATTCTCTAATTACAGCCCAAAATTCGTAATTTGATGGCCGACTGCGAACAAATGACCAATTTACCCTCCATGAACCAACAAGCACGCCACATGATATTTTCCTGCAAAAATCAACCAACTGCACAAACTTGTTAGCGACCGGTTGAATGCAATGCCAAAAATGCAATAAAATGCGAGATGATTCGGCTAAATCTTAGGGCAAAATTTGGGGTATTACACACGGGCATGCGACATCTGCTCTGTGTAGTCAGACACATTCCCCCATTCGTCAATCATGGGAAAGTGATGGAATATCCAAGCTTGAAATAAAAATAAAAAACATCAGGATCAAGAATTATCACGAATATATAATGAAAAGAAATGAAAAAAAAGTTACCACAAGTAGTGACACGCTGTCTGCCACAGTCATGGTCTTCCACAGGCATCCCTCTCCCAGTCTCCAGTACATGTAAGTCAGGGTAGCCGCCCCCTAGTTGTACTCATGGATCTGTGTGGAATCCAAAAATTACCTCAGGTAAGTGACATCGGTATATGTGAAGGAAGTGTCCACAAACAACTGTGTGTCGACTAAAAATAAAAAATAACACCTCAGTACACGCTGTCTGTGTATCTCAAGCTCAGCGGAATCACCATCTGCCTGGCATGCAACAACAAGCGCATCACGAAATCTACGTGTTAGAAAGGAGAACCACACATAAGCCCATCTGGTCTTACCCACCTCCTTCAGCGCATCCACTAGATCAACCCCAAGCTCATCGATCAACATCTCTCTCGCCTCCCCATTCATCATCCTACCGTGACGGAGGATGGTACCCCTGATCGGTATATGCAATAGACATTAGATGTCGTCTAGTGTAAGAGTCAGATCGTCATGCGGTAGATGGAAGAAGGACGTCTTAGGGTGTCATCTCTCCCTAAATCCCATCAGCATCCCGTTATGGATCAGGCTGTAAACGATATCACAAAGGTCCTTCAAACCAGAGGCGACAAGGACATCTTGGAACCAAGCCTCTTGTGGCTGCTCCAAAGATAATATCTTTCGCCCATGGTTGTAGAACTTTTGTGGCTCACAAGTCTGAAAAATTTCCATAAATAAGAAACAATGTTAGTAATCAACAATGGTACAAATTATAAATTTCCAATGAAAAAAAAGAAACAAACTGAGTAATGTTACCTCTCCATCCCATACATGTCTGGAAGTATGGTCAACATACCCTGTCAGTAGGGACATATCTGAGGGACCCCCTAGGAAACCCTCAGGCTCATCATCACCGTCGTGACCACCATCCTCCATCGGTGTGTCATCAGCCTCTAGAGGTGATACCGAAGCAACATCATCGATAAAATGAGGAACTGGAGTATCCCGACGAGGCTTGCGGGATGACGAGGCCTGTGATAAGCCCTCAGCTGAATCCCGACGCCTCCAGGATGAAGAAGTCGATGATTGGGTGGGATATGAGGTTGAGGGAGTGTCTTGGACATGTGATGAAGAATGTTGTCCAATAGGTTGTGCCTCGACTGTATCGGCTTGGGTAACGGTGGCTTGGCTCCGCTCGCGTCTCACAGATGAATGTTGTGAAACCCGTCCAAGACGCAATCTCTCGTCTTTGTCTTCTATAATGTCTGCAAAAGAATAACCAAGAAAAAACAATTAGATATAAATAAATAAAAAAACAAAAAAGAAAAAAAAATTAACATTTTCTACTTCCGGATATACAAATCCGGAACAAGTTTCGTGTATGTATCTATGGAATCACCCAGAATTTACAACGTTTGGGTTGTTTTGGAGCTGCATCTACGGAAGCTTCCTATTGTTAAATTGTTCCGTAGATGTAGATCTGGAACAACCTGCAATTCAAAGGTTACGGCAATGGCGTCCCTTACCCATACAAATGTGATTTTTGAAGCCCTGGTCGTTTGTTTCAGCCAACAAACAATACCTACATTGTCTCTAAACTATTTTCTAAAACTATCTAAGAATTTCTACTTCTAAAATTATATTCTAACTCGTTTATCGGAAATACTCGAAAAATAAAAAATTTACCGATTATATCAAGTTTTGAATGTATTGGTGTTTCTTGATCGTTGAAATGAATGCTCCTTGTCGAATTTGATTGAAAATAATTAAGTTTGGTGAAAATTTTTTTTTTGAGTTGAGAGAGTTTGGAGAGAGTTTGAGAATGAGAAGAAAAATGAAGAATGAGGGAGGAGAAGAGACTCTGGTGTGTAAGTATTCTAATTTATTCCGGAACTGTATAAATGAAAACCTTTCGTAGATGTAATTCTGAAAAAAATAACTTTAAATAAAAAAAAGATACGTTCAAAAATACATCTCTAAAACCTGAAGAAACATTTTTGAAAATGCACGTGCTTAAGATATTCTCTTTTAACTAAATAAACTTTTAAAAATCCTAAGCCCTTGTGTACCGATTAATAGGCCAGCTCTACTACAGTGAGTTGGATAGCAACCGTTGAGTTGAGAAGAGGCAGAAAGCGTGGAAGCAGAACAACCATACCCAATACTGCCACACGGATGCTTCATTTCTTCTATTCTATTGTTTCTCCACTTCTTCGATAAAACCAACCCTAACTTCATACCAATTTCATTCTCTATCTTTTCAGAAATGTCACACATTGCTTTAACTGCATCACCCACCGTCCTCGCTTTTCACCGTATGCTCTCTTTCTCTTCTATCAGATTTCAAATTATCGCTGTTTTCGTTTTCTTCTTTTAACAATTACTCTAAATTCAGCACCATCGGATTCACTTTTTAGTTTTTTCCCTTTTCTATAAGGCGGAGCGAAACAATGGAGCACGCTGTGCCCGAGTAGCTGGAGAAGCAGGGGAATCAATCCATCTTCATTTCCAAACTCCACCAGAAAACGGTTACAGTTGCGGTTTTTTGCTTCGGGAAAAAATGGCGGCAATGGAGGTGTTGTGGATGAGATATCTGAAACTGTAAAGGCGCACACGAATTTCGTTTGGCCTGATAACAAGGTTTCTTATGGTTATTTTTTAAAAAGTTTGGATACTGAATTTGTATAGAGTTTGCTAGTTTGTTTGTAATTACGTGTTTATTCTCTGATTCACGGTTTGCAGAAGCCTAGAGTGTGTATTTTAGGTGGTGGATTCGGTGGTTTATATACTGCTTTAAGGTTGGAATCACTCCAGTGGCCCGAAGACAAAAAGCCACATGTAAGTATTCTAACATTCAAATTCAATTCAGTTCTTTCAAGTGTATGGAAATTGATGCAAAACCTGTGATAGAAATAATTTAGGAGCATCTTTCTTGATGAGATTATGTCTCGGTACAAAACATTCATCAATGGAGCAAAATAGAAAAAAAATAATCGTATCAATACCTTTAATTAACAATGTGGAATTTGGAAATGCCTTAGTTCTATATTAGTTTCCGTAACAAGTTCCCTAATGGCACTCTTTAACATATTCCTTATACATATATAGTGGAGCATTATGTGAGATTGTAAGAGATGAGAGGATGTGGGTTTAAATTTAATCCCAATTATCTGTTATGATTGCGTGAGGAATGATTAGGAGTTTGTTTGGATTGACTTATTTAAATTTATCTCCTGACATAAGCACTTGTGAGTATGTTTGAAAGAACTTATGGAAACAACTTATGACATGGCTATAAAATGTTCTCAACTTATATCTATAAGTTCTACATGATAGGTTATGAAAACAACTTATAGCTTATAAGAATATAGTATAACTTTATTTTATCTTTTATTATGGAAATAGTTTATACAAAACCCACTATATGATAAACACTTATGCTTTAAGCGCTATATTGAACTGTTTATCCAAGCAAAGCCTAACTCTCATGAATCATGATAAGCTGCAATTTATTTTGTTCTTCTTTTGCAAGTTGATTGTACGACTATCATTATGATCCTTGCTTATTTATATCCATGCACTGTGACTTAGCTGTTGATTTTTCTGCACATTTTGCTTCTTGGGGATGTTTTGTATAAAAATAAAATTCTTTATATGATATGGAACAGATTGCTCTTGTCGACCAATCTGAACGATTTGTTTTTAAGCCACTGCTGTACGAGCTTCTATCTGGTGGTATGCAGTATTATATTTATTCAACAATTGCAGTTTTCTTCGTTTCATATATGACTAAGTAGAATTGCATTATGGTATACAGAAGTGGATGAATGGGAAATAGCTCCTCGCTTCTCGGATTTGCTGGCAAACACTGGTGTGCAGTTTTTGAAAGATAGAGTAAAAGTCTTGCAGCCCTCTGATCATTTGGGGGTGAATGGATCCAATGCATCTACTCGTGGAGGAACTGTTCATCTTGAAAGTGGCCTTCATATCGAATATGACTGGTACAATATGCACTATTTAAGTACCTCAGGGGTATCCTGGCATGAATTGAGTTTTATATGCTGCCCTAGATAATATGCTTTTCTCTGGTTCTGTGTTCTTCATATTGACCTAGGTTCTTCAATTGGTAACAATTAAGATACAGGCTGTGTGATCATGCTCCTAAGTTAATTCTTAAGTAATGATTCGGATTTATCGGCAAGATCCTATATTGCAGTATACTGAAATGTTTATTTGTGTGTCTAAATTATCTGCAAAAGCAAAATGAATCCATCTGTTTTTTTTTTGTTAGATGAATTGCACTGGCAGCGTGTAGTATATACAAATAAATGCATAGTGTGTTTTTTATTTTTGTTGATTTGAACTTTTTCCATTTCTTCGTGCCGGACAGCCAGGCTGGTTCTTGCATTAGGAGCTGAAGCTAAGCTGGAAGTTGTACCAGGAGCAGTAGAATTTGCAATTCCTTTCTCAACTCTGGAGGATGCACGTGTAAGTGCGTGATAGATAGGACCGGTCAATTATTTAAGCCAATATACAATCTTATATTTTAATGATTTTATGTGCTGGTTTCTTGTTGCAGAAAGTTAACAATAGATTAACAATATTAGAGAGAAAGACCTTTGGCAAGGACTACCAAATTAGTGTGGCTATTGTTGGTTGTGGATACTCTGGGGTTGAATTAGCAGCAACAGTAGCAGAGCGATTACAAAATAAAGGAATTGTGAGAGCTATTAATGTTGAAACAACTATCTGCCCAACTGCCCCACCTGGCAATAGGGAAGCTGCACTGAAAGTAAGTTGTTTAGAGTTTAACTTTAATTGTTTACAGGAACTCAAATGTGTATTTTGTTTAGCCATGGGCAATTAGGTGATGGTCGACACATGACAATTGGAAAGGCAGTGAGAAATACTGTTCTTTTAAATTAGAGAGAGGATAAGATTAGAAATGACAATATTAGAGAGAGTGTTGGGGTAGTACCTATAGTGAAAAAGATGGTGGAAAATAGACTTAGGTGGTTTGGACATGTAGAGAGAAGACCTGCAGATTTTGTGGTGAGAGTAGACTAGATAGAGAGGAGTCAAACAGCTAGAGGTAGGGGGAGACCTAGAAAAACTATAAGAGATGTTATTAAGAAAGATCTCGAGATTAACGATTTGGATAAAACATTATGGTGGAAGTTGATCCATGTAGTCGACCCCACTTAGTGGGATAAGGTTTGGTTGATGTTGTACATCCATCTAACGAGATATGCTTCGACTAACATTCCCTGATTTGAAATTTCGTTAGTGAGCTGGTTAGGTCTATCCCTTCACTTAACCGAAAGCATACACTCGATAGGGTTTATTATCAAATGCGCTAGTTTATAGCTCACTCATGCCAAGTGCTACCGCCTCATTCTGGTGAGGCTCCCAATCCCCTGTAACATTGGGCTTTCTGCGTCCTTCTGCCCTGGGATAGTTGGGCTGGGCCTGATAACTGCCGCTTTGATCAAGCGTTAAACTACTACTTATGGCTTCGGTGGAGAAAGGCATGGGCCTATGGGTCGGGTTTGTAGTAGCTGACAGTAGGGGTGGCAAAATGGATGGATTGGATGGATATGGATTGGATTGTTAATGGATGGATTAAAACAATCCATTAGTCCATTAAAATCCACTAAAATTTTATTAAAATTATCCAATCCGATCCATCCATTAACATATTTTTAATGGATGGATATCCATCCATCCAACTTTTTTTTTAATTTCGTAAAAATAAATTTTTTTTTTCAAAAACAAATTAGTTTTTTATTCTGAAAAAAAAAACCGATTTTTTTTCCAAAAAAAAAGTCGGTTTTTTTTTCGAGAAAAAATTTTATTTTTTTTCGAAAAACAAATCAGTTTTTTATTCTGAAAAAAAAAACCAATTTTTCAGAAAAAAAAATTGATTTTTTTCCAAAAAAAAAGTCAGTTTTTTTTTTGAAATTTTTTTTTCTCGAAAAACAAATCAGTTTTTTATTCTGAAAAAAAAAACCGATTTTTTTCAGAAAAAAAATTGATTTTTTTCCAAAAAAAAAGTCGGTTTTTTTTTGAGAAAAAATTTTATTTTATTTTTCGAAAAACAAATCAGTTTTTTATTCTGAAAAAAAAACTGATTTTTTTTCAAAAAAAAAGTCGGCTTTTTTTTCGAGAAATTTTTTTTTTTTTTTTTTCGAAAAACAAATCAGTTTTTTATTCTGAAAAAAAAACTGATTTTTTTTCTAAAAAAAAAAGTCGGTTTTTTTTTTTCGAAAAACAAAACAGTTTTTTGTTCTAAAAAAAAAACAGATTTTTTTTCAAAAAAATTAAAAAAAAAATTTTCAGAAAAAAAAATAAATCTAACGAAAATAAGAATAGTCCATTGGATCTTTAAAATATGTTTGATGGATTGAATCAATCCATGCATATAAATGGATGGATTGAATCCATCCATGCATATAAATGGATGGATTTAATCCAATCCATTAACTTATTTTTTGTGTGGTGGATGGATTGGATGAATTTTTTAATGGATGGATTGGATGGATTTTGCCTTAATGGATTTAATTGCCACCCCTAGCTGACAGACAATTAAAGTATGTGGATGTTAATAATAGTAGAGTGAAGTCAGATATATAGAGAGCTAGAGCTTCATTTTTGAAGATGTTAAATGAAATACTAATTTATTTGAGTTATTACTTTTAAGTTCCTGTAATTTTAGAAAAATTCAAATGGTCCTTGTAATTTAAAATTTGTATTTGAGTCTTCATAGTTTTGAATTTTGTAAACATGGTCTTCATGTTCACCATATTGATTAGCACTATGGGGGACCAACTATCATGCCATATTTAATGTTTTTAAACTATATGATCCCATTCCAAAATTTAAACCGTAGGACCTAGTTGAATATCTGTAAAAAGTCGCTTAGTTAGTAATTTAACCTAACTATATCAATTATTCGGTAGAAATCAATTCTGAGCAGTTTGAAATACAAACTTTCACATAGTTTAAGTAATTTTTATTCTAAAAAACACATTTCAAATCAATCTGTTAGTGTTCATAACTTAATCCCAAACCAAACAAGCATTAGCCATAATTGAATGCTACATCGGTGTTCCAAGATGAAATTAAAATATTGAATACTTTTGAAATCATCACTTTAATCCTGGTTTTGTAGGTAATGCTTCTCTATCAGGCAATTATCCCTTTTCTTAAATTATGCTAGCAGTAGTATTTTCATTTTCATACCATTAAGTTTAAGTCCTTCAAATTCCATTGCTGATATTATTCCAAGCAATTTTATGATTTCTGAATGGAAACGTTATACTGTGGATGTTAGGTTCTTTCGTCCAGGAAGGTGGAACTTTTATTGGGTTACTTTGTCAACTGTATTCGGAGGGCCAGTGAATTGGAGTCTACAAATACTCCGACAGAGGTGGAAAGTTTTGAAACAGTGCCGGGTTTTGAAAAGTATATACTGGAACTGCAACCTGCTGAAAGGGGAGTGCAGCGTAAAATCATTGAAGCAGATTTGGTATTGTGGACTGTTGGATCGAAACCTCCTCTTCCTCATCTGGAATATTCAGATGTACCATTTGTAATTCCACTTAATGCTAGGGGACAGGCAGAAACAGATGAAACTCTTCGTGTTAAGGGTCACCCACGGATATTTGCTCTTGGTGACTCTTCGGCGTTAAGGGATTCAAATGGAAGGATTCTTCCAGCCACTGCACAGGTTTGATTTTATTGACATTGTATCTAATGGTATTATGAAATGTATATCTTTTGACAGTACTAACATCTTTGTTTGCCGGTCTGTTTTCCTTTACTTTGCAGGTTGCATTTCAACAAGCAGACTTCACTGGTTGGAATCTTTGGGCTGCAATCAATGGGCGTCCGCTTTTGCCGTTTAGGTATTTTTGCATTTAGAAGTTCTTTATTTTGCTAATAAAAAGAAAAAGGCCAATCTGGTGATGTAAAAGCCCCCATGGCTGTGGCCTTCATGGAAGTATCAGACACAGAAGTTTGTTATTTATTAATAATAAATTTGTTTAATTGTTCCATAATGTACAACTAACACTACATTTATTCTCAATCTGGGTGTTAGATTTCAGAATCTAGGTGAGATGATAACTTTGGGAAGAAGCGATGCTGCTATTACTCCGAGTTTTATTGAGGGGTTAACTTTAGAAGGTCCTGTTGGCCATACTGGTATGTTGGTCTTACCCGCCATTCTTTATTACGCTGGACCTGGTAACCTATTAAAAACATACAAATAAGAAGAAAAATAAACTTGAGGTTTTCTGTTTTTGCAGCTAGGAAGATAGCTTATTTGATGAGGTTACCAACAGATGAACATAGGCTTAAAGTAGGGATCAGCTGGCTTACAAAATCCGCTGTTGAGTCAGTGTCGTTGCTACAAAGTACCTTATCCAAGGTCCTTTCAGACTCCTCTGCTCGTTCAGATTGATGTATATGTAGCATTTAAATGTTATGGGGTATCACAAATGACCGTGCAATATGGGTATCATTGATCCAACTTCATGACTACTAGATACAATGCACCAATTGTTCAATTTAAGTTTTATCCCTCATCTATTATCAACAACTTTTATGATAGATTTTGATTACATTATTGTCTCTCAACTTTAAAGTTCATGGCTGAGCTGATATCTAACACTTGGTTCTTGTAATTATAACATTTAACTAATATAGTTTTGACATGGTTATAAAGTAATTGACCTATCCATTAGACAGCTGGTTTCAATTTGCGGTGAGGAAGTTAACACGATCACATGGTTATGAAAGTAGAAAGATCCAACACATTAATGCAACTCATTTCCCACACGTCTTACAAGCACTACTACAAGAAGATCACATGGTTATGAAAGTAGAAAGATCCAACACATTAATGCAACTCATTTCCCACACGTCTTACAAGCACTCCTACAAGAAGATCACATGGTTATGAAAGTAGAAAGATCCAACACATTAATGCAACTCATTTCCCACACGTCTTACAAGCACTACTACAAGAAGACACACCGCATCTTCTTTATAGTTTTCTAATATTATCCACGCAAACAGTATTCAGTTGTGAAAGCAATTCAGTATTCACTCTCATTTGATCAAATCAAATACCAATTGCAAAACAGTATCTTATCCTCCAATCTTTTCAAGCCCTACTTATGTGTATTAGTTGTACATTACATCAACCAATATGACATCACAATCAATCACATTATAAACTTATTTTAGATCACTTTATTTACTTCCAAAGTGGTGAATAATCCTGAAATTTAGTATACAAATGCCACTTTACTAAAAGAAAAGTAAGAACACACATACGCATTCCTAATGGATCTTGTCACGAGCTTCAAGTCTGAACCTATTACCTAATATGATGATATACTTTTCCATCCTACTTCACTGGTTTGGTATAACTACTGCAGACAAAGTCGCACCTTGGGATGATGATGATCTCATAGCAAATACATTTTGACCTAGCAAATTTTCTATCCTATAATACCAAAACCATTATTATTCCTCAAGTAACATGTGATACAAAATTATATAAATAGAAGATGATTTAAACCTTCAAATTAAATTAAAGTTGGGTGATTGAAATGGAGAAGGACATTAGATTTTTTATGTGATACAAAGGTACTGTTTAAGTTGAAGGGAAAATTTTATCGAATTGTGTTAGATCTGCAATTTTATAGGAGTCATAATATTTGACAGTTAAAAATCAACGCAAAAATAAAATCATTGTAGCAGATATGAGAATGTTACAGTAGAGTATGGTAAAATTCGATACAATAAAATTATAAATAAAAAATAAAGATGTCAGAGAAAGAGAAATATTTAGAAAGATTATCACATAGGTTAATAAAAAAACTATCAAAATTAATAATTTAAAACTGGGACGGATCGATTCATGAATCATACAATATATATCAATGTCATGTAAATAATCTCTAACTTAGTGCAAGTTTTTTTCTTAAAATAAACAACCATATGCCAACTATATTATATATACTCACACTCAAACACCAATTTAATACGACATATTTACGTTTAAAATTTATGTATTATGTACACATAATATTTAAATATAATTCAATACATATATGTAAAATACCTTTATAATAATAGTATATCTCAATTAAATTTAATTTTAATATTATATATTGCCCTTGCACTAAATAAATCATGAATTTGAAGTAAATTAATACTTAAGATTATTTTTAGATATCATTAAATCAACAGAGAAAAATGAAGTGAATCAGAATGAGACAGAGCGAAATGGAGTCAAGCATAAAAAATATTTTATTATTTAAAAATTTTAGAACAGAAAAAGACAATTTGGTCATTCCTCTTAAATTGGAGGGCAATAAATATAATGGCAAATGATAGAATGAAATTGAATTTATACAATTTCATTCCGCTTCGTTTCATTAAATTTTAAATGATTTAAACAATAAAATATCATTCTATTCTGTTTCATCCGATTCTATCGATCCAAATAAAATTAAATAAAATATTACGACAAAAGTGTAACCGATCCTATTTATTAAGGCAAGAGTTACTTGTTGTATTGTATATCCATATGCCCTACATGTTCAACTAGTTGGATTACTTCATGCACATGACTTTAGGAGAGATGTTACCACTACAACTCATTAGTAGATGAGAAAGGAAATTCCAACAATTTTTTTTCCACTAATTTAAAGCAAAACATTTACAGAGCTATGAAAAATCATTAAATGGCCGAAATAATTCAAAGCTGTAGGTAAATATGTTTAAATCTGCTTAGCACTATTAGTCAACCCCAAAAAGTAAAATTATTAAAATATTATCGTTGATATTTAATCGATTCATTATTTATATTAAATATTTTTGAATTAAATAAACCATCTATTAGAAAGAAAAAAAAGCTTCAAAATTGTTTATTTTTTGTTTATGTTAGTGCCTATACATAACCGTTATATTTGCTTATTCAACCAATTTACTAATGTCAACACCTCCAACGAAAAGTGATTTTAACACAAGTGATGATAGTGATTATGACATTTATCAATCAACAATTTTGAAATTTAATTCTGTTAGTGAAACCATATATCTTTATGGAGGTTTAAATTCGTCAAACAATGATATCTCAAGAAGGTTTGTTATTTAAATGTTATAAGAAGAATTAAAATTAGCAAGAGGTATGTTATTTTTACACCCATTTTTTATAAATACTGTGAATAGTATTTATATTTTTTTTAATAAATAAAAGATAATATTTATAATACGTGGACAATACATTTAAAATAGTAAAATGAAGTTGGTTAATAAAATATAAAAAATTGATTAATAAAATGTAAAAAATTAGTTAATAATGTGATGAATTTGATTAATAAACGTTCAGATGTTAAAAATAATTTTTAACAATAAATCAAAATTGATCAATAAAATATAAAAAATTGGTTAATGAAATTATGAAGTTAGTTAATAAACGGTCAAAATATTAAAAATAATTTTTAACATAAATTAGTTGATACAATATATAAAATTGAATAATAAAGTTATGAAGTAGATTAATCAACACAAAAATTATTAATAATATTATTATAATATTTTACTGTTCATTAATAATAAAATATAAATTTTAGAGTTGAAATAACATTTTTGAATTAATAACACAGGAAGCAATGTACTCTTATCACTCTTATATTTAATTTTTTTTATAATGATGATTCTACATGTACATAAGTCACGTTTTTTATAGGTTTTATAAGCTATCTTGGTCATTAAGAAAAGTTATAGGCGGTTCATAATTTTAGTTCAATAACATGCTTTCTTAATGATGAAAATGAAAGCATGTCACATCATATTAGTTAGTGATTAAAATAAAGGATAAATATCTAACTAATTATTATTTAGTGATTAAGAAAAAGACTAAATATGTATCAAATGTGTTCTAGTAACTTCTTCCAACTTAACTTTTTTTTTTTTTTTTACTTCTTCTTACCTTGTCTCTCTTAAATCAAGATCACGTTATTCCAAACATTTTATTCAATTTGTAAAATATCTCAATTTACAATACTCAATCACCCATTCTTTCTCATTTATTAACTCTCTTATCTTGTGAAATCGAGTATCAATATGTTCAAACCGTTCATGAAAATTTGAATTTTTTGTCAACGCAATAGTTGACTTGTTGTTACAATATATCTTTGTAGGACTATTATGCTTTTGGTGTGTTTATTCTAAAATTCTTCTCATCTATGTTATTTGAGTAACATAATCGGTTCCTGCAATATATTCAACTTTAGCGGTAGAAAGTGCAACAACTAGTTGTTTCTTTGAAGACCATGAAATTGCACTCACACCCAAATGAAATGCATACTCTAACGTGATTTTTCTTGTTTCTATATCTCCAGTCCGATCACTATCTGTATATCCAACAAGCTCCACATCAATATTACTAACATACAAATTTTCCATCAGCAAGTGTACCTTTGATATAACAAAGAATCCTCTTAACTCCTTGCAAATGACTAACACATGGTTCTTCCATGAATCTGCTAAGCAAACCAACTTCATAAACTATATCCAATTTTGTCGCAATCAAATATCTCAGACTTCCGATCAAAGTTTTATATTGGGTTGAATAAACTCTCTTGCCACCATTTTCTCTTGTTAACTTTAACTTTTCTTCAACGGGCGTGTAAATTGGTTTTGAAATCTCCATCTTGAACTTCTTCAAAATATCACCTGCATACTTCTTTTGAGAAATAAAAATTCCATCATTTTGTTGGGAGACCTCAATGCCAAGGAAGATATTAGGTCCAAATCCGTCATTTCAAAACAACTTATCATAGCCTCCTTAAACTCTGTAGCCATAATTGAATTATTGTCGGTAAAAATCAAATCATCAACATACAGGTAAACAATAAGAACATCTCCAGGCTCGGTGAATTTAATATATAACATATGCTCAAACAAACACCTCTGAAAAACCAATGTGCACAAAATAAGAATAAATCTTCTTATTCGAAGCTCTTTGCGCCTGCTTCAAGCCTTATAATACATTCTTCAATCTGTAGACTTTATCTTCCTTTCCTTGGACTACATACTATGCAGGCTATTCAACATACACTTCCTATTCCAGATTACCGTTGTGAAATGCAGACTTAACATCCATTTGATGTATTTTCCAACTATTTTGAGTTGACATCGAAATAAGCATTAATTGTACCCAACCTTGCAACAGGAGAAAATACTCCAAAGTAATCAATACCTGTTTTTTGCTTGTATCATTTTGCTACCAACCTTGCTTTAAAGCGATCAATTTCACCACTAGATTTGTACTTTGTCTTGTACACCCACTTCACTCCTATATGTTTATTGTCTGCTGGTAACTCTATCAGCTCCCATGTTTTATTCTTCTCAATTGCATTGATTTCTTCACTCATGGTATTT